CGGGCGCTGAGCGCGGTCTGTGCCGCGCAGGTGACGGCCGAGTCCCGCTGCAGGCTGGTGAGCTGGCTCATCCCCGTGCACCGCCACTTCGCCCTGTCCTTCGAGGCGCTGTGCCTGGCCGTGAACACGCTGGACCGCTTCCTCAGCACCACCCCCGTGGCGGCCGACTGCTTCCAGCTGCTGGGAGTCACTGCCCTCCTCATCGCCTGCAAGCAGGTACCGGCCTGGCGGGGAGGGGTGGGGGCAGTCGCCTGCCCGGGCGAAGCCCCTCTGCCTTGTCCGCCTGGGCGCTAGGAGGGTGCTCTGCCCCCACCTCCGGCTGCTCTCACCGCTGTGTAACGCTGTCGCTGCAGGTGGAAGTGCACCCGCCCAGAGTGAAGCAGCTCCTCGCCCTTTGCTGCGACTCCTTCACCCGCCAGCAGCTCTGCAACCTGGAGTGCATCATCCTGCACAAGCTGCACTTCAACCTGGCCGCGCCGACTGTCAGCTTCTTCTTGGAGCATTTCACCCAGGTGCGTATGGAGGCTGGGGAAGCCCATGCCGAGGAGGCCAGCAATGCCAAGACCCTGGCCAGAGGTGTGGCTGAACTGAGCCTGGCAGACTATGCTTTTAACAAGTATGTGCCCTCCCTGCTGGCCGTTTGTACCCTAGGGCTGGCCGATCAGATGCTGCGCCACCAAAACCCGCTGGACCTAAAAATAAGTGGCTACCCGCAGGGGGTTTTACAGGACTGCATGGACAAACTGCTCTTACTGGTGTCTCTGAACGGAGATTCTTTATCCCATGTGCTACCCCAGGAGTTTTCCCAGAGCTGCCTGGAGCTGGGAAGCTAGCTGGAGCAATGCCCTTGGACAATCCCTCAGGCCATTTGAAGCATCGGGAGATTTTAAATAATATTTCCTTTCCATCAGTGTTTTTATGAACTACCAGCTTGCTGATAATTGCTGTACCTCCAGAAATAACAGTATTTCCCTTAGACTTTTGCTTAGTTGGCAGCTCTGCCTGTTGTCTGTATTTATTTCTGCTCTGTAGGCTTAAAGTCTATACACTTTAGAGCTTAAATCAACTAAGCAATAGTGTCCTTGTAAGGAACTAAAAATTAACTCTTATTTGCACATTATATTTTTTGTTTTGTTTCTTGCACTGACATTAGACTTTATAATGATACCCAGTGTAAATAGTGTACATAATCCAATTCCTGTACAGTTTATTTATATAGAGGATGGCTTATAAACATACCTCAAGGGCAGGCATAGGAACAATAAAAGTACTGTATAAAATTTCTTAATAAATTTCTGTCACTGATCACTGAAGATAGTGTGTTTTGCTTACAGTGTTTATACATAATACACCTTGGAGATCATTGTTGGAGCATTATTCTGGTAGTCTTGTTTCACTCTGCAGAAAATAATTGTGTATACGTGTATTATTTTCCCTTTCAAAATGCATTTTTGTCAGCATGGTCATATTCTACGTGTGAGAAATTTAGTTCATATGCCACAGCAGTGTAAAATAAACCACATAATAAATGATGATAAGTTTATAATTTTCTTAGTACATCCAAATATATGTACTTAACCACCTGAGCTGTAGGTATTTCATAGCAGGGGGAAAAGTAAAAAGAAAAGGCAAACACTATAAAAAAGAATTATGTTGCAGAATGTTTACTTTTCTCCTTTAACTTGTACTGAGCTATGACTTTGAGGTAATACATAGGTGACACCAAACTCATAACATAGATACTTACAGTGTATGAATTGGTGATACTTCCCATGTCTGCCTCTTAGAGCACAAGATGTTTCACATACTAGAAAAGTGTATGACACAATTGTCAATATGAATGACTAAGGAAATGTAAGAAATGATGCTACTAGCAATTTATCTGGAATGTCATGTAGGGACATGGTATGTATATACAATGAAACACAAGAAGAGATGATTGTAATCTACTTGAAAAATCTTAAGTGAGTTCAGTGGGACTTCTTACAAGAGTTAAATTATTCCTTTGCTTTAAGTATTTGAGCCATAAGAATGCAGGTGTGGGACACTTAGATTGTAAGAAATGCTGTCCCATGTCCCAGGACAGGGCCACCTTACCCAGTATTGCATGTCTCATTGTGGGGGAGAGCAGATGCTAAGGAAAGACCATGTGCAAAGGCTACACAGACTAATGTCCCCAGCCCCTCATCTCTTACAGATTTCAGTATTCACATGTCCTGATTTTAAAGGTTGCATCCCCAGCTATGCTTTTTAATACCCACTGATAAATCAGTGCTAATTAAGATGCACTAATGCATGAATTTAATCCTCTTTTGAACCTAGTTAAATTACCGGCCTCTGCACTTTCTTGGAGCAAGGAGTTCCACAAGTTCACACATGTGAAAAAGAACTTTCTTTTCTTTGTTTTGAACCTGTTACCTAATAGTTTCACTAAGAGGCAATGACATGTCTCCTAGTTCTAGCATTGTGAAAGATGATAAATAGTAAATCCCCATTTACCTTTTTTCTATGATTGTATAGCTCTGTCACATCCACCCTTAGTCATCTTTTCTCTAAGTTGAAAAGTTCCAGCCTATGTAGTCTCTCCTGGTGTCTGATTGGCCAAGTCAGTTTCAGATATTTTAAATCCATTATCATTTTTTGAAAATGTGAGTGGGTCCCAGTCTACTTCAATTAATGTAATCAAACATTAAAGGAAAAAAAAACCAACCAGAGCCCGGCAAAGGCAAACCTATAGGCCACCATTGGAAATACAGCGCTGCAGATGCAGTTTAGTTAAATAAAGATTAGCCTGTTTTCAGAATAGTCCAAAATGCCTTATCAGAAATGTAAACATGAGGGAACCTCAATAAGGTATTTAGTCTATCCCTGTGTTGAGAGGGAAGATAAGTACACCTAGAACAGTGATTTTTAACCTTTTTCATTTTCAGACCCCTAAAAAAATTGAATGGAGGTGTGGGCCCCTTTGAATTGTAAGTGTGGGTATTCACATACGTTTGATCGATCATTGTCATCTTTTGGGGACTCCTTAGCCATAGCCTGCAGACCTCCCCCACAGGCCACACGTTGAAATCCACTGTCCTAGACCAGATTCTCGTCTCACCTGTTCCCTCACTGAGGAGATCACACAACCTCTTGGCCGGGTGCTGCAGCGCTTCCTTATTCCTATAGGTGGAAAGCTTTTACTTTTCCTAATGCTAATGATTTTTTTTGCTGCAAAGGAAGCCGGCACCGGCCTTCTCATAACCCCCGTTCATGTACTGGAAGATTGCTACCAGGAGTCCCTCAGTCTACTCTTTCCTGAACTAAAACCACACCTGATGCTGATGCCGTCCCTCTGGGCTCTCTCCAGCCCCACACCCTGCTCCACGTGCGGCGTGGATATATCAGCGGGTCTCAGAAAGGCTGGATCCCGCCGGCCTGCCCGTGTCCCAAGCCCAGCCGTGCGGCGCCTCCCTTTGTGCCGGACACCCTCGCGGGCTGGGAGCGCCACTCTCCGCCGCTTCTCCAGCCTCCAGGAACAGATGGCGAGAGCACAGCTCGCAGCTCTTGTGTCGCAGCCCATGGGGGGGTTACCCGACCTCCCACCCTGGACGCTGGGAGCCACCTGCTCGCGGGAGACTGCGGCTCGCCCCGTGCAAGCGCGGGTGACTCGCAGCCCTTCCCGGGCGGGGGGGCGGGCGACGGGCGGGAGGGACTGCCCGCGCCCAGCCCCGCTCCTCGCAGCC